CCAGCTGACGACACTTGAGGCTGGACGGGCGACTCGGGCCCTCCAGCTGACGAGACTTGAGGCTGGCTGGGTTCTCCCGAACCCCCAGCTGACGTGGCTTGAGACTGGACGAGCTCCTCGAGCCCTCCAGTGGAGACAGACACTGAAGCAGCAGGTACAGAGACCTCTGAGCAGCACAGTGGCTTGACTCAGGCAGCAACAGTGGGATGCAGTCCTCGGAGGGCAGAAAGTGTTCCCTAATACACTCAGCAGAGGATGGAGGCGGACGGGTGAACTCACTTGAACTCTCAGGGGGTGCTGAGAGCCGAGACTGTTCTGGTGAGTTCTCCGGTAGAGCTGCTGGTGCTGGCGTCTTGACCTCTAGGGGTCCAGACTTGGCTGGTGACTGACACCCAGCCTCTGGGGAGGCCCTAGAGGAAGTGACTGTCTCTGAGATGGCCAGCTTAAGAGATCCACCAGGTACAGTGGTGAAGTGTGTTCCCTGCTCATAATGAGACGGTGAGGATGGTGATTGAATGAATGAGTGGGTAGGCTGCTGAACTAGTGGCAACTGAGCTACAGGTAGCGATGGTAGCGGAGGTGTAAGAGGTGGTGGAGTGGCTGACCGAACTGCGGGCAGCTGGGCTGCTGACTGAACTGCTAACTGTGTTACAGACCCAACGTTAGACTGTGGTGAAAGTGTGGATGGGAGAACATGGTCAGGAAAAACGGTTTCAGTGAGGTTTACAGCTTCCCCTGAATGGACCAGTGCAGGTGAAAAAGAGTCCCAAACATTTCCATTCTCTAAGTTCATAATGCCAGGCTCAGTAACTCCATGCTTGGCAACAACAAAGTGGAAACAGTCATTAACACAGAGCGTGGGCTCAGGAAAGACAGTCTTTGAAGCAATAGCCATAGATGAAACAGAAAAACCACTATTATCTTCGGTGGAAACACAAAAAAATAGCCCCAGAATAAATAGTCCTTGTATCTGACAAAGCAGAAACAGTGTCCCTCTCACTCACCACTGCCGGTTGTTTACATGTCCCGACATCCGGCTGTGCGAACGACGTCGCGAACGTCGCTTTTTTCTCGGAGACGGCTCTGACGGGCCGGGTAATTCCTCGTCCGGCGGTTCGGACAGCATGTCCTCCGTTGAAGCGAGCGGGCGAGCGGTAGCGGCCGGGGGGTGAAGGTGAAGCTCGTGGAGAACAAAATTCTGAGTCCAATAGCCAGGGATAACCGGAAATAAGGTGTTGTAGGTTGGCTTCCACAGTGTAAAGAAACGCTTCTCCCTCATGCTCTAACCACAGGTTGATTAATTTTGAAGCAGTCGATAACGACCTCCTGAAGCTCCCTGGGTGGGCTGAATGCCGCTGGATCCATATCTGGCTGGACCGTACTGTCACGGCGAGTGAGATGAGCCGTGTGGAAGGAATAAAGGAGGATCCAAATGCAGGCACTTGTAAAGGTGTGAAGGTGGTTTATTAAACACAAAATAAAAATGGACAAATGGCAAACGGAGGAAGGACTAAACTATACTGGGAGCAAACTAACTACTGGACACGAACCTGAACAAAAATGAGAGCGAGCAGAGGCAGACGACGGTTGACAGCAGGGAAAACACACGAGTGAGACATGGTGGATACACAGACGAACCAGCAACTACAATGACAGAAGACACGACTTAAATACACACAGAGAAACACAGGAAATTACACACAGGTGGTGGACACAGCTGGGAGTAATTAACGAGACGAGACAAGGGAGGTAAACTGAACACACTCACATGAGACGCAGACCTTCACAATAAAACAGGAAACAAGAAAACACTGCACAAAGACGCAGACACGACACTGAGACAGACTAGACACTGAACTAAACCTGAAATAAACATGAGAACACAAAACCTACGAACTAATCCCTAAACAAGAATAACTGAAACATAGATTCATAATCATCATCATAAGAAAAGAATACAAAATGCAAAAACACACGTACCCGTACCCATTGCTACTTAGAGGTGGGTGGATCGATCCAGATATCAATAGTATGGATCGATGCTAGCGCGATAGGATTGATATTTCATTTAATCCTGAAGGTTCAATATGTAGACTGCTGGGCTAAAAACCCTGTTTAAAACTATATGCTTTATTGTAGATTACTAAGTGCTAATAAACTAATTACTGCAGAAAGTAACACTCATAAATCTTGACACACGGATCAACACTACACAAGCTACCTTTGTAAGTTGAACGTATCAGTATCGGTATTGGTATCAGTAATACTAGTTACTTGGTATTGCACAGCACAAACAGCCAGTTTGACTGGTTATGCTGCAGACCACACATACACACAGACAGGTACTTTTTGCAGATGCACTTTCAGCAATTAATTTTCATATTGTAGCTGTTTGTTTATTTCTATCAGCACACCTGGTGACGCAGAACCTAAAGTGGGAGGCAGCAAAGTCTCCCACTGTCCTTTTGAGCGGGTTATCAGTCACTGTGTGATGCACAGTGTTGCTCAGTCACCCCTCCAAGTCCAGGACAGATAACACCAACTCTGAGGCACAGGTAGTTACACGCTCACCCCGCTGTTTAACAACAACAATATTAATAAAAATAGAGTAATGGCGATAAGGAGCTCTGAAACCTGACCTACATACAAACACATAAACTCAGTGAAGGTGACGATGTGTTAATCCACTCTCCCTCTCTCCGTGATTCACACACAGACCATGATGACGGTGACTGGAGGAGCGGACACTTCTGACGTCAGACGAGGAGAATGACAAGCGCGTCCAATGAGGGGCCGAGGATGTGCAGCGCGAGGACGGAGCAGCCGACAGAAGGCTAATAACCATGCCAACGGAGGAATATAGCGCGCGCCGCTGACTGGGGGAGAAGCGCGCGCGAGAGACAGGGGGAAACCCCGAAAGAAGAAAATACTGAAAACACGTTCACGGGAAGTGGAGAATAAAGGAGGACGGAGAGAGATACGAGAAGCAGAAGCAGAAGAAGAAGACACGGAGCGGGTAAATGTGTTTGTGTGTGTGTGGCGTGGTCTTCATCCATCCCACTTTCTCTCTCCATCCTGCTCTCTCGCTCTCGCGCGCTGGCTCAGGGACTGCACTGCTGCAGCTGAATGAAACCGATGAAGGTATTTAAGCTTTTGTTCTGTCTTTGCTGCACACAGCCTGCCCTCAGTGCTGGAGGCTCGGCAGGGGCGTAAAAACAAAAAACAAAACAAACAAAAAAAAGGCTCGTGAGTGCTGTGTGCTGGGCTCTGGGGCGCACGAGCTCCCCGTTACCGCAGGGATGTGAGACCCCCCTCCTCCTCCCCCTCTCAGCTGCCGGGCTTTTGATGCTGGTGTAGGTGGTGGTGGTGGTGGTGGGGACGGTGGTGACCTTCCCTGGACGTTTCCAGTCATTGACGGTGTGTGCGCGTGCGTGTGGGCGTGCGAGAGGAGGACTGAAGAGGACTGAAGAATAGAGGAGGAGGAGGAGGGGTGAGTGGGGGCGTTGAGGTGGGAGGTGCGAGAGGAGGGGGGAGAGATTTTTTTTTTTATGAATGGAGCTCCACATCTCTCTTTGGCGCACGCGGCTGCGAGTGTGTGTGTGTGTGTCGCTGTGCGTGCGTGTGCGCGCGCGCGCTGGCTGCTCTGCTGCTGGGCTAAAATTAGCGTCAGCAGCCGCAAATATGTGGATCAGAATCCGAATTAAGCAGCTTCTAAATGAAAACTGTGGGCGCACGTGCCCGTGTCTGGGCTCGCGCTCACACACGCCACCGGTGAATAGGACGGCAGCCGTGCCCCAGGACGTCATGCACCATTTTTAGAGACGCTCTAAAAATAGACAGAGTCGGTGATGATTTTGGTTGTCCGGACTCTGTCAGGTAGGAGCGAGCCAGACTCTCGTTATTGTTATTACTGTTGTTGTTGACAGTGTTGTTTATTTGGTGTATGTGTTGTTTTGCTTGAAGCCAAAATGGCAGGAAGAGTACCGCCAGTTATGGAAGACTTGTCCTTGCGTGTGTATGTGTGTGTGTGTTCACACCTGCTGATAATTACCTGTCAGCGTGGTGCACGAGCTGCTGATGACGTGCATGCTGGAGGGTAAAAGTGCTCGGTCGTTTTCACGAGTTTCTGAATGGATGAAAAAAAAGTGATTTTCTTATTTGGTCTCTTTTGTGAAACGGGAGGGCTGAGCACACATCCCTGCTCCTCCTCCGCCTCCTCTTCCTCTGCCTCCTCCCTGCTTTTCTCGTTTGTTTTGCCCTCCTCTCCCCGTCTCACGTCCTCTTCCACTCTTTTTGCTTTCCTCTCGTCCTCACTTCCACTTTCTTCTGAAAACTTCTTCCATCGTGTTTTTAACTCATCTCTCTACTTCCATCTTTCTGCTATGTCACATTCCTGCACACAAACGTCTGCACCTCTGCTCCACCTCTTTCCTGACTCACCTCTTCCTTTCTTCCCTCCCTCCTCCCTCTCTCCAGCTATGATTCTCTCCCTGGCCGCGGCGGCAGCCATGAGTAGCGGTGGCGGTAGCAGCCTCAACTCCTCCTCTCCCCTCGACCCCTTCGACTCCTCCACCTCATGGAGCCTGGTTGAGGACCCCGCCAACTCTTCGTCAGAACCTGTAGTGCAAACGGTGACCCCTGACCTCCAGCCAGCGACCACCGCCGTCGCTCTTCAGGAAGTCAGCCCATGGGACATTGCGCTTTGCGTGACGGGGACTCTCATTTCCTGCGAGAACGCCCTGGTGATCGCTGTGCTGTTCTACACGCCGACGCTCCGCGCTCCCATGTTCATCTTGATTGGATCGCTGGCGGTGGCGGATCTCCTGGCCGGCCTGGGCCTCATCTTGAACTTTGTCTTCACCTATCTGATCGACAGCTCGGTGGAGTTCGTGACATTGCTGTCCGTTGGACTGCTGATCTCGGCCTTCTCAGCGTCTGTCTTCAACATCCTCGCCATCACGGTCGACCGGTACCTCTCGCTCTACAACGCCCTGACCTACCACACTGAACGGACGGTCACCTTCACCTACGTCATGGTGGTCTTTATCTGGGTGTCGTGCCTCACGCTCGGCCTGTTGCCGGCACTGGGCTGGAACTGTCTGAGAGACGAGAGCACGTGCAGCATCTGCCGACCGGTCACTAAAAACAACGCCGTGGCTCTCGCTGTCACTTTCTTATTGGTCTTTGCCCTCATGATGCAGCTCTACCTTCAAATCTGCAAAATCGCCTTTCGCCATGCGCAGCAGATCGCGGTGCAGCACCAGTTTTTGGCCATCTCCACCACCAAAGGTGTCTCCACACTGTCGGCCATCCTGTGTGCCTTCGGGGCATGCTGGCTGCCGTTCGCCATGTACTCCATTGTGGCTGACTCCAGCTACCCCGTAATATACACCTACGCCACGGTCCTCCCAGCCACCTGCTGCTCTGTAATCAACCCCATCATCTATGCGTTCCGAAACCCAGACATCCAGAAGTCGCTATGGATGGCCTGCTGTGGGTGCGTCCCCTCCAACCTCTCCTTAAGACCCAGGACCTCCAGTGATGTGTAGCAGGGAAGGTTGGAGTCTCCTTAGTGTGATGCTTGAGGTCGAGTCAGGGTTGGAGGGACAGGAGGTGGCTAGGAGGAAAGAGATTTCCTCTGCTTCTCATACCGGGCAGGCTGATGGCGAACACTCAGCTGGCCGCTGTAGATGTGGCACTGGCGGCTGATGGAGAAGAGGACGATGCATAGTCAAAAAAAACAAGAAAAAGAAAAACGATATGAAAGTTTGTAGCCTTGAGAAAACCAAAATCATGGATGGAGATGGTGTGGAAACCAACTGCAAACACCTGTTTAAGGTATCCTCATCATGGCTGTGGGAGCTGAGGCAGGCTGTGGGGGAAGTGTCAGGTGACTTTTCCACTGGCTTCTGTTAGGGCACGAAAAGTGAGTCCTGCTTCTCAAGAGTAGCATATATGTGAAGCTGAGATTTAGTAAGAAAGTTGCTAAATCTCTGCATGTCCTGAGGCTGGGCAGCACTGCATGGTTATGCAATCAGAAGGAGTGAAACAGTCTTAAAATACTTGTTTGTGTTTTAACTGATGTGTTTGAAATTAAGTGGCGTGTGGATAAAAATACAATGAGCTAAATATACACAAGGAACGACCTTGAAAATTCACAATGAGCTACTTTCTCCTGGTAAAAAAACGAGAATATTTCCTCCCTGGAAACATTTTGAGCAATGTTTCCTTCAGCTGATGCAGATTAAGTAGCTGAGTCTTGCCCATTAAGCCTTTTCCCAATGCCAGAAGCACAGCCTTTATTATTTGTTTTTCCCATTTCGATGCAAGTTTCAGGAAAGAGTGAAAAAAAGCTAATCACACAACATCCCTCCTCAAACATTCAAATCCGAAATGAAATCTAATGTACCAGTCTCTGAATGCATAAACAAGCCCGGCTAGTTTGAAGAATCTAGAGAGGGATTTCCATATTTAGACTGGCATGTGTTGTCCTTGGTGCGTTGAAATGAAATCTGCTCCGCAACGGAGAAAAATGGGTTTCTCAGCCTGCCGCTGTGCCGTGACTGCGAAGCAGAGAGAGCTGAATTCAGCACCAAGGACAGCGTCACTGCAGAGCGCTGCTACCCTGGGAATGCTCTCTGCTGCGGGGAGGGAGAGCGCCGGAAAGTAGGCTACGCTGTTCTTTACACCCTCTTTATGGGGAAATGTGAGACGGGCCTTAAAGGAGCATTTCAGCATGATTGGAGTTTCTTTCACCCTTTTGTCCACCCCTGGATGGATAAAGGTATTTAAAAATTTGTGTTTGCTAAAACTCTTCTGTTATGTGATTGCTTCAGTTTCAAAAAGACATGCAGAACAACATTAATAGTGCTAGTTAATCACTGTGGCACAAGAGAGCACAAAAGACATTTATGATTAGTATCAATAGCTAACATCTGCAAACCTTATGTCTCGGTTTGGATACTTCCATGCACTTTGCATTTTACGCTATGTCCTTACTTGCATAGTGTTTAAAATTAAACGTGGTAATGTTGTTTCAAACTGACCACAGCAAGCTGTATACTTTCCAGAAATGATGACTGGACATTGATCGGAGCCTGACTGATCTATCAGTGGGATGATATAATCAGCTTTTTGGTATTGTTGTTTAAAACGGCGGATAAATTAAAATTTAACAAAGATTTGATGGGAGAAACTCCAACTTCAAACTTGTTATAAGTGTTGAAGATTTGTCCACCAGAGGGCACTCTGCAAGTAACCTGTTGGCGACACGTGTTTGGAACACCACAAATACGACAATCAACTGATTCAGACAGAGACAGGCAGAGCGTAAACGGGTAAATAAATAACTACATATAACAAATGTTTAAAAAGTCTGTTTAGATTTCATGTGTCTGACAGAATTTTTTTTTTAAATATATATCGGAATTTCAGATTTTTAAATGACCAAATATTGGCATCAGTATCACTGTCAGTGTATAACAGTGATTATCCCACTAGCTGCTGCAATCTGTGAACATTTACTACTCCCTTAGCAGCTGACCGCACATACGACAAGATTCCTCTGCAATAAAGAAACTGATTTAACTTTCATGAACAAGTAAAGCAAACCAAAGTTGGTCTCGTGAATGCTATTTAGCTGGCTAGCTAGCATTGGGAGCTAGCATCGTTGCTTGGAATGTATTTCCTTTCTGTCATATTGCTGTCTGAAATGTTTTGGCCATTTCTTCTACCATGTAGCAAAAGCAGCAATTATTTGGGGTGGAAAGTGTAAATAACACTACACTACATCAAAGCATACTAAAGATTTGCTGCTCGTTCTTTAGCTGGCCTGTCATTGTTGTATTAATGTATTGATTTTTTCTGAGGGGTCCTGTTCTTTTATTACGCGGCAAAAATGGCGACTATTTTGAAGAAGAAGGGTAAAGAACGCCACACGACATGTACTGCAAGTGCATAATAAATGTTTGCTGCTAGCTATTTAGCTGGCAAGCCAGAATTGGCCTGACACAGTTCCTTACAATGTATCAGCTTTCTGCTGTTTAAGAAATTTCTGATGATCTATCATCCTAAGCTGTATACACACTGGAAGTGTCCGCATCGATGTGGTGAACACACTCCACAGAAAGCGAAGAAAATTTAGCGACTATGGGCGAAACAGCTGCAAGCAACGTAAAGTGGATGAGATCTGAGATAATCTTTTTTTAAAGCCCAGAAAGGACTACCAATGTGAACTAATAAGAACACAGGACACATATGACCTGTTAGTAAATGAGTTAGAGGGTTACCTAGGCAACCGCAGCCTGGAACACCTACAAGCTGTCAGCTTCAAAGCGATGTGCGTCAAGCGAATCGTTTACTTTTATGCTTGAAATACAAAGTATGGAAGTATCTGAGACACAGCTATGGTAAAAGCTCAGCACTGTTTAAGACCAGCATATTATAAGCCTAATTTGACCCCTGCCAGGCCAGTTTTTAATTATTTTCTAGATAAAAGCTACAATCGTTATTTTAGCCAAAGTGTCTTTTTAGCATACTCTTGTTGTTTGATGTTTCGACACATAAAAAACTATCAAAAAACTTTAAAACTGGATTAAAGATCCAGAAACATGCCTAAATTACTTCTCTGATGGAAACTCTGTCTATAATGCACAATCATGAATGTATTTAAATATCGGCCTCGATATCAATCTTAAAATATTTCCAGGAGTCAGTCAATCAAAACAATGACCCCGTCCTCTCTGTCCCCGTGTTTGCGATCAGCAGAAATTCCCGTCGTCACCGGGAAAGGTGAGAGCAGCTGATATTTTTCTGAGGCGAACAGGACCTCTGTGTTTTTCTGCAATCTCCATAAAGCTGTTTTGGCCATGCGGCTCTAAAGTTAGACGGCACTCTGGCTCCACAGCCCAATTGATTTTACATTAGCCGAGCTGAGCACAATCCATATCGAAAAGGTCGTTTTTCATCGGGGGCAGCTTTGGTCGGCTACGCTACGTTTTAAGTCATACTTGCGATTCTTGCACCTCTGAAAATAAATGAAGAATGGATGTGTTTTGTATTATTGCTAAATATTTGTAATGCTTACGCTTAAACACTCATAGATGTGTGTCATAGATTCAGGGGAAATGGCAAAAGTCTATATATTAAGAAGGAAACAAAGCACCATATGGCGAAAAATTCTCTGGCTTCCATTTTAATTTCCCTATGTGCAGCCTGTCAGCAGTAGCTGGGTACCTTCTGCAGACATGCACACAGTCTCACCCCGCCTTGAAGAAGCAGTGCAGCTCCGCCGCGAGCCACCTCTGAAGGCTCGGCAGGTTAATGAGAAGCAAGAGAGGTGAGGTGACGTGGCATGAAATAGAAACACCAGGCGAGACGCGCTTTAACGCAACCTCAGGTCACGTCCACCATGCACCCAATCAGGATGAAGTTATTTCCCCACTGAAAGGGCATCATGCACCGTAAATCCAGCTAATGATAATAATATCTGAGCAGTAATGGTACAGGGAGCTGGCCTAATGTACAGAGAATGCTGTGAGGATGAGTTGGAGAAGGGATTTATTGCCAACCTCAATCTGTATTTAAATGATCTACGGAGATACTTTTCACTTTCGTGTTCCTCAGAGCAACCTCGGAGAGAGTTTCAATGACTAAGCTGCTGGCATGCTGCTCATATACATGTGTGGGAGGTGTGCTGGCTTTGGGAAAATAGTTTATGGAAACTGGGCTGTAGTTTCGAACTGCAACAGTAAGACTCAGCACAGGAAAAAAACTGTGTAACTACAGGGAGTCACTTCCAAATTCAACGCTTTCTACCAAATAAATCGCAACATTATGGCGTGAAAGCAAAAAACACACATGTACTCAATGAAACTCTGAAAATGGCGCACAGGAGAAGCAGGTATTTTCTTTTTCTATGATGTAAATTAAAGCTTAGAGTAGAAGTATTTTCTACTTTCCTTGGCAGGAAGCAACAATCAGTTGTTTTTGCAGCAGTTGTTAGCAGAACAACAGCCACACGAGTTTCTGTCAATGATTTCCTTTGGAAACGGCAGACTCTCTTGTGTCTTCTTTTGATTTCTATTTGTTTGGTTTTGGCCTTATTGGAACAACAAAAACTCCTTCGCAATAATGTCCAACTGTGTTTTGCTGTGTACAAAAAGCCACAAGCGAGAAATGGAGAGAGAAAGAGAAGCGGTCGGCTTTGGAAGATTTGCAGAATAACTCAAAGTAAATGTTTCAAGGCAACAAATGGCACATTGGGTTTTATTGGAAAGAAATATGATCCTGGCTGCCTGGTCGGGGTTTTCTAAAAAGCATGGAAAACCTAATGAGTAAATAAATGCTCAACTTCTTTTCTTAGCTCATCTACTGCAGACAGAAACCTCCAAAATAAAACGCATCTGCAGCCATTTTACTAATTTGATAATTTAATTATAAAACCACCAGTTGAACAAGTTGCCGGTGCGACCTCTTCCCTTCCTCTCTCTTTTGCTCAATCACTGCATTGATGGAACTGCCTAATGGTAAACCACCTGCATCAATTATTAAGTGAAATATTTTCAATTACTCTGAGGCTGGAAGCATGATGTGGATGAAATTTGGCACTCGGTGAACCGCAGCAGTGCGCGAGGGAGGGTGAAACATGTCCACGCACAAGAGTTGAATGAATCTATTTCACACAGGAAACTGATGCGGATCCTTTTGGCACACAGTTCTCTTGTATGCACAATGATATGCGAGACTTGCCTGGTCACCTGTGTTTGGATATGCTAGATGGGACATGCAGAGCAGTCACAAATGAGGTGAGGATAATGTCACATCCGGTACGGTTTCTAACAGATGGCCAGTGTTGCCAGTGGTACAGTTTGGCCCTTTAATTGTAATAGTAAAAGAAGACCTGCACTAGCAGGGATGTGGCTTTTAAACTCATCTTCTTTCCTCTTAAAGGCTAATCAAACCTATTAGAGAATCATGAATCATGAAGCAGAACTGGATTGAAGGGAAATAAATTTTGAGGCTTGTTTTAGATTCTGTAAGGCCACCTAAAAATGTCAACATTTGAAATTGTCTTGACTCCAGATATGGCATGGGAACACCAGCATTTACCATTCTAATCTGTTCAGCACTTATTTATGAGGAAGAAAACAGGAAAACATAAACAGTGTAAAGAATGTATGTAGCCACGTGACATCACCTATTGGTTTATGAAACCCTGTTTTGAACTCTTGCCATTATAAAGAAACCTAGTAAAGGATTGGCTCATTGGCTGATGACACATGTTGAGGATTTCAACCAATGGACATATCCTGGATGACTCTCTTTTTTAACTATATAAGAATGACCAAAATTTACAAAATGGCATTCACGTTTTATTCACTATGACCTGAAGCTAGCAACTGAGACCATAAACTCATAAGAAGAGTGTTTGCAGAGATCACAGGGAAACTGAGGCGAGGACCATTTTCCCAAAGACTCAAATACAGCTCAGCAATGACTTTCAGGAAGTGAAAATCCTATTCATATTCTCCATAGGGAATCTGACTATGAGCCATAATGTGGAAACAATCAAAAGTAGACTTAGTATAAGCTATGACATTCCTACAGTTTCCTAAATCCAAACAGCAACATATCTAAATGTGGATTTCAATGATACCATGGAAATTTTTAAATTAGCGAACGCCACATTACTTAGTCTACGTCCACATGCACATGGATATCTTTAAAAACAGGGATTTTTTCAAGTTTGTTTCCAAAAATATCTCTGTACTCAAGTTCCATCAAGATGATGAAGGATATCCATAACCCTAACCATATGGAAATGTTGGCAAGTCAGAAGCTCACAAACAATAAAATAGAGAATAGAATAGAATAATCCTTTAATTGTCCCACAAGGGGAAATTTGGTTGTAACGGCAGCCAGAAAGACACATATACAACAAACAGTACACAGGACACAGAACAGAAACACACACAGTTTGTCTTACATATTTACATTAAGGACAATGGTTACTATAAACAGAGTCCAGAAAAGAGATAGTGGCTAAAGAGATAAAGATAAATATCTTTGATGCTCTGAAACAAAAGCTCAGTTTTTCTTGTCCACATGTAGCCGCAGAAACAAAGTTTCTGAAAGTCTTCACCCTGGCAGGAGTTCTTTAAAAAAAAAGTCCTGTTTTAAAGCCTCGTGTTGTAGCCATCTTGGTTTAAAAGTACTGTACTAATATCCATGAATCTAGCATCCTGTTAGCTACCTTGCTAACTAGCTTGCTAGCTATTAATAGGCTAGCTACCTTCAACTACTTCTTTGCCTTCACAAACTCCTTTTATTCTATTGAATTA